GCCACCTTATGAAGAGACAAGGTATGGTTGTATAATCCCAGGAAAACCAAAGGGAAGTCTCCTAAGTTGTCTTCTCCATGGGAAGGGCCATATGACATAGTGGATCACCTCTCAGATGTGACTTTCCGGATAAAATGTGGTCAGCGAGGTAAGCCAAAGGTGGTGCATGCCAACAGGCTTTGGCCTTATCATGGTCCAGGACATTTCAGTTGGGATGAAGTGAACAATGGAACAAATTACGCTGCTGAAGACGTGTCACATGAAAAAGCCACTGTCGAAGAAGAAACTCTATTCAGTTTTGAGAAGGGAAACAGTGAAGCCCTTGATGAAGTTACTATTACTGATGTGACTGTTACCAATGATAGGATGTTTCCTGATGAAGCAGAAGCCAACGAGACAGAGACCAGTGCGGAAGAAGATACGTCCCGAAAAATTAAAAGACTTTGTTGAATTTTAATTTTGTGTTTGTAAATTCTATACATTTAATTAAGTTATTGTTAATTGTTTACTAGTTTAATGTAAGTGGCTATTGTTCGGGACGAACAATACTAAGGAAGGGACAGTGTTACGACAGTGGGGGTCACGTGAGGAGTATTGTAGAAGATTCGCTAGTGTGTTGCGACAGCGTTGCGTCAACTGACGCTGGTAACACGTGTTGAGAGTCTTAGAAGTTTCTAGAACAGGCAGTATTATCGTATATAAGTGCGCTATACAGTGAGAGAGACAGACGGAGTCGAAGCAGTAGTGGAGACAGAGACGAGCCAGAGAACGAAGCAGGCAGAGAGAAAGAAAGACAGCGATTACGGTCGGCGGGAACCGAGGATAGCAGACACAGGGATCGGAACTATAGTTGGCGGGGATGGACAATTAAGTCTAAACGCGATAGAAAGTGAGTGAATTGTTGTGAACTATAGTGTGTGTAACTGTGAAAATTAAGTGCATTACAAAGTTGTATTGAGGAAGAATAAACAAGTTTTATAAAGAAAGGACTTGTATCGTAGAGGAATTAACAAACAAACATACAGAGACGTAACAATAGATTTACGCTAGTTACTTTAGTGAAGTAGTCAAATCGACGTCTCGCAAGGATATGTATTAGCTAATAAGAAGCTAACAAATGCAACCACATTAAGATCTCCAGCCTTGCAGTATGATTGAAAGTATGTGTGTCAATATAAAAATATGAAAAATCCACTGAAGTAAAAACAAAGAAATGTGGAATTTTTGTCTCCACGTCGATATACCCATTATAAAGATGTACTAAAGCGTCACCTGATCGCAGCTGATATACCTACTTCCAGTTGGGAGTCTAGCCAACGATCGCGCCAAATGGTGTAAATCCATCATGGACGGTTCGGAGGTTGCACACCAAAAGTGGGTGAAGCTCTCACGGAATTGCCGCGTTCAGAGACACGCCTTGCCTGTTGTTTCTCGCACAGTACAATGCGACATTTGTGAAAAGAAATGTGCCAGCAGTTTTGGGTTCCGATCACGCAAGCGCTGTTAGCACAGTCGGCAATCCAAGCGTTGATGGTTTCTTTCCCCCTTCTCTACGTCATCTTCGATTTTCGAAGGACTGCCGACGGAACCCGTATTTAATTTGCCACAGCTGATCGAATCATTGATGGATGTGGAATGTTCTTATAGTACAAGGAATAAACCTTTTCTTGTAAAATATTTGAAATTAGATATTATGTAACTAGAACAGAATCATCACTACTATTTTCATGTTCCTGGTCAACGTTTGTGTGCCAAAAAGAATAAAATTTAATATTATTTTGTACTTCTGATACGATTTAAAACCTACATGTACTGGAAGAAATGGTGGATCTATTAATGCGATGCTAATAAAAGTAAGTCCACTTTTATAAAAACTATTTTAACTATGCTGTTCTACGTGAGCACTTTTACAATTGATATGAGTATGATTTTGATCAAATCTCTTCTATTAATATCATTATACAATATTACAGCTCAGAAGGACACTTGAAGATTACCATCAAGTACTTCGGTTCTACAAAGTGGTTTATTAGTCATATATATTATGCACTTTTGGGTACAATACAATACACTGTCTAAAGTTATATATACTGAACCGCAAAAGAAACGTCGCAGTAATTAGAGGAAAAAATGATACAAGAATGA